TTTTCGTGTTATTTTTATTTATTGTTATGTTGTTATTGCATTTCATTTTATTTATCGCTGTTGTTATTAGTGTCCTATTACTCCGCTGGGATATGCGTTTTTGAAGAGAATGTTTTTTATTTTAGCCCTATTGTCTTCTATGTACTCCGGATCACTCAAGGAGTAAACTTTGGTGATGAAATTTATTGCTGTGTTCTTCTTCTGGGCCCACGGGTGATTAGAATTAAAGTTTATCATCCTTGATGATGCTACGCTCTTGGTATACCAGTTAGTTTTCAATTTATTTTCACTCTTATGAATTTCAATATCTAGGAAGGCTATTTTGTTATCTATTTCCTTTTCCAGTGTGAATTGTACTTTTGTATGCTGTCGATTAAATAATTTCAATATCTCTTCCACGTCTTTTGTCTTAACTATAGCGAATACATCATCTACATATTTGGTAATGTATTTGATACATATGTCCTTATTTCTTAGCTCGATAATGCTGTCGTCAATAATTTTGTCTAAAACAATGTCAGCTATAGTGGGCGATAAAGGGTTACCCATCGGCATACCATACACTTGCTGGTAAAAGGTTCCATCGTAGACGAAGTAGTTGTTTTCCCTCAGACAAAATTCTAATATTGTTAGGAATTGTTTTTTGGTTATTGTTGTATGCTTTTCTAGGCTTGACCACTGCTTCATTATTGTGTTAATCGCCAAATGGATGGGTATATTTGTGAATAAAGATACGACGTCCAGGGATATAAGCATTTCATCATCATCAACAGTTATGATTTTAATATTTTCCTTGAGTTGAAATAAGTTTTTCACGTTAAAGTTTTCAGAAACGATATTTTTAAGGGTCTGCCCCACATATTTTGCCAGTTTGAAGCATGGTACATTCATAGATGATGAAATTGGTCGAAGAGGTGTGTTCTCTTTGTGGATTTTGGGTAAGCCATAGAGTCTTGGTGCTGTAGCTGCCGTGCATGTCAAGTATTGTTTAAGTTTAAAGTCAATGCTTTTATTTTTATAGATGTCATTCACCAAATTGTTGTTTTTCCTTAAAAGCTGTTGGGTCGGGTCAATTCTGATAGCCTTATATGTGCATTTATCATTTAAGAGGTCTTTCATTTTTTGTTGGTAATCTGCCTTATATATCATTACTGTCCTGTTATCCTTGTCCGCATTCGTAATGATTATGGAATCCTTGTGCTTCTGAATAAATCTTCTTGTTTCTTCGTAAATTTTAAGTATAAACTTTTCTTTTGGACTATTTTTTAATTTGTTTTTAAACGTGTTAACCTTTGTTGCAAAATTGCTTCTCACCATATCTTTTAGTCTATCGTCTTCCATCGTTTGTATGCTTTGTTCAATATCCGCTATTAAATGTATAGGTGAGAATGTTTTCCTAGAAACAGGTAGTGCGAACTTATTTCCCATCGATAGTAACCACCGACACTCCGCGGGGATGGCGATATCGGTTTTATTGGTGAACCAATCTTCATTGCATCTCAATCCAAATACCTCAAAGTTTTTCCTAATAGATGTTTGGAGTTTCAATTTAAGATTATTTTCCGTTTTGTTACTGATATTCCTTAGCAACTGTTTTTGGCTTTCTACTATGGAGTTGAATTCTTTCCCTTCAATGATCTTCAGTAACTTTTTCTCAATGTGTCCAATGGTATCTCTAATGATTTTTATTTGTATGTTTGCCTCTTTTACTTCTAAGTTTAGAATTTTCATTAAAAATAGTTTTTCAATTTTTTGCATTTCTTTCTTCGTTGTGTCTAGTTTGAACCCGTGTGTAATTTTGTTGGTCTTACC